CGATCATAGAATCATAGAATGTTTTGGGTTGGAAGGGACCCCTAGAGGTCATCTAGTCCAAGCCCCCTGCAGGAGCAGGGACACCGCTAACCAGATCAGGTTGCTCAGAGCCCCGTCCAACCTGGCCTTGAATGTTTCCAGGGATGGGGCCTCCACCACCTCTCTGGGCAACCTGTGCCAGTGTTTCAATCACAAGACGCAGTTTGTCGTAAATAACTTTTTCCTTCTAGTAGGTGAAATAAGGTAAGCAACATACAAAAATGAAACTCCGCCTAGAAAATAGTATTTATTGTATTTTTAAAAAGACAGAAATCAGAGTAGGTAGGTATTTTACATATACATCTTCCTTCACTATATTCACAGTGCAACCCTGATCTTCAGTGAGAATGCAAGTACCTACAATAACTTACCGCAACAAAAGAGAACTTAACTATATTTTGAATATTTCAAAGTAATAATTAAATTGCCTAGAAAAGTTTTCTTATGCTTGTCTTCAAAAAAAAAAAACAAAAAAAACCCCAAAAAAACCAAAACTCATTTATTTGACCAAATGAGAAGAAAGCAGATGCCTACCATATAAAATACTACTAAGACTTCATGTTGGGCTATAAGAACCTAATGACTTAGTTGAGATTTTTTACTTCCAAATTGCCCAACATTTTCAGGCTTAATACTATAATCTTTATTTTCTCCTCATATCAACCTGTAGGAATTGCAAATTTGCAATATATAATAACCCACCTCATTAACTATGTTCACAACAAACAATGACCTAACTGAATATAACCAAGTCACAAAAAAAATGCTAAAATGGCAGTTTGTGTAGAACAGCCGATCCTTCTCAAATGCATAACTATGGAAACTTTGTAGAAGTTTTGGGGTGGGTGTGGGAAGCTTCTTTTTTCCTACTTCTAAACAATTTTCATCATCCAGATGTAACAAAGAGGTTACATCTAAAACCTGAACTAGAAGTACTCCCACAGCATTCTCCCAGAGATACTGGCTGCTCATAGTGTGGATGGGTGTACTCTTCGCTGGGTTAAAAACCGGCTGGATGGCTGGGCCCAGAGGGTGGTGGTGAATGCAGTTAAATCCAGTTGGCAGCCAGTCACAAGCTCCCCAAGGCTCAGTTGTTTATTATCTTTATCAATGGTCTCATGAGGGGATTGACTGCACCCTTAGTAGGTTTGCAGATGACACCAAACTGGGCAGGAATGTCGATCTGCTTGAGGGTAGGAAGGCTCCGCAGAGGGATCTGGACAGGCTGAGGCCAATTGTATAAGGTTCAACAAAGCCAAGTGCCAGGTCCTGCACTTGGATCACAACCCCAGGCAATGCTACAGGCTTGGGAAAGAGCGGATGGAAAGCTGCCTGTCTGAAAAAGGACCTGGGGATGCTGGTTGACAGCTGGCTAAACATAAGCTGGCAGTGTGCCCAGAGGTGGCCAAGAAGGCCAACAGCATCCTGGCTTGTATCAGAAATAGCGTGGCCAGCAGGACGAGGGGAGCGATCATCCCCCTGTACTTGGCACTGGTGAGGCCACACCTTGAATACTGTGTTCAGTTTTGGGCCTCTCACTACAAGGACATTGAGGTGCTGGACCATGTCCAGAGAAGGGCAACAAAGCCGGTGAAGGGTCTGGAGCACCAGTCTTACGAGGAGTGGATGCAGGAACTGCGGTTGTTCAGCCTGGAGAAGAGGAGGCTGAGGGGAGACCTTATTGCCCTCTACAACTGCCTGAAAGGAGGTTGTAGTGAGGTGAGTGTTGGTCTCTTCTCCCAAGTAACAAGCCATAGGACGAGAGGAAATGGCCTCAAGTTGTGCCAGGGAAGGTTTAGATTGGCTATGAAGAATAGTTTCTTTACCAAAAGGGTTGTGAAAGCATTGGAATGGGCTGCCCAAGGAAGTGGTGGAGTCACCATCTCTGGAGGTATTTAAAAGACATGTAGACGTGGAGCTTAGGGACATGGTTTAGTGGTGGACCTGGCAGTGTTAGGCTTACAGTTGAGACTCGATGGTCTTAAGGGTCTTTTTCCAACCTAAATCATTCTATGGTTCTAGTTTCTTTTGGCATCTGTAAAGAACTCTCTATAATTAGAGTCAGTACACAGAGTCAGCGCAGTCAGAGGGCACAGAAGAGACAATACAGCCTTTATAAAAAGAAGCTGTACCTCACAAACTTGTAAGAACTCTCTACAGAAGAGCTGTGCAAGAAGGTAACTCAGCTAACAGTGCACTTGGATTTTCACACAGTTCTCAAGAAGGGGTCTTACAGCAAGAAAAGTACCATAATGATAAAAGCCTGGAGGAAGAGACACCACCCTGGAAAGTGGATGCTAAATCCTCCATAACTGCACAGGAAACAGGTTGTTACAGTAGACAGTCTCATGAATATATTCAGGTCAATTTTCAGGAAGCAGTGATGTAACAAAGAAATAGATTATTAATAATTATGAAAGTAATAGATGACATAATAAAACTAAACAGAGTTAAGCCACTATAAACATATGCTGCATTTGTGCTGTTATGGCTTCCTCAACTCAAAAGCACTACAACAGAAAGACACTGAAAGGGGAAACAAGAACCATAAAAGCTGTGGAACCATGTGTACACATGAAAAAAATTAGGCTGGGACTCTTAACCAGGGCAGGAGAGGATAGCAGAGGAGAGGCACAGAAGAGATTCATAAAAGAAGACTAGCAGACAAGAAGGTAAGAAATTATGGCTGACATCTCTAACCCAAGGTCTAGCAAGCATCAAATTACCAGGCAGCCAGTCCAAAACAAGAGTTTTGCATAATTAAGCACTACTACAGCACACTGTAGAAGCCAAAGGTCTATGTGGGTCCAAAAACCAACCAGATAAAGCTGTAGGAAAACGGGGTGACAGGGGAGACACTGAAGATACCATCTGCCTCTGCTGGCCCTAAACTGCAAGGCTGCTGACAGCTAGGGGGGGTCACACTGAAGAAGTTATCACTGCATGTTTGTCCTGTCCCCACTTTCTTCTCAGGTGTCTGCAGACAGATTGCTGTCAGACCTGAGTCTTTGGTCTGACTTACAGGAGTCATTCTCAAATTACATTAGAAGCCAAACCCGCAGAGTCAACAGAACATGATTTGGGAAACTGCTGGTTCTTTTATGTTTTCTTGAAGGAAGCAAGTTTACTTGCTCACCAGTGTGTTTTTAATTACTCTCATAAACCTCAGACTATCACGCTCCCAGACATTTACAATAAAGTTTTTGTATTACTGCTTCACTGACAAAAACTGAAAATGATCCAAATCTTGTTATAAGACTTGGAGAGACAGCTACCAGCTGAAGAGAATTCATACTATAAATCACTCTTTTAAAAAGTCATCTAAAATAAAGATTGTTTTCTGCCTTTACTGAGACTAACATTTCAGTGTCTGTTAAGCCTATATAAAAGCTGATCATGCACAGCAGTGACTTGCATATTTAGCATAATGTACTCTACGGGTCCTGATTCTAGAGACGCTCAGAAGAACAATTGAAGTTGAAGGCACTACTCCTCAGCTTTTCTAAAAAGTACTTCTGGAGTACAGAGCTTCAGATGTCTATTGATGTTACACGTTTGATGGTCACCCACTGCCAGTACTCTTTCTTTTTTTTTTTAAATATAAATGCTACTGACTACTGAAATTTAAATCTTTAAGTTGCCATAGTCTCAAACTACTCAAAGAGTGGGACAAAAGAAAAAAAGTGTTTTCAAACTATTCCCAAATAGTCCACAGTTAAAAAAACACAACCAGAAGAAATGAAAAAAGCTTTCCAACGTTTAATGAAGTTGCTGTAATTTTAAGTTCTACACACCACTAAAATATAAATCAAAACATAGTAACGCTCTGAAGCCTAGCACTGCTTGTAGCTACAAATGGAGACTATTCAGAAATCAATATTCTGCATAGCACAATACGCCTCCAGTTCCCTTACACTGCTCCAATACAAAACTAACCAGCCAAAGAAAAACCCTCTGCAACAAAATAGATTTAAATTCTGTAGCACACAATTGCAGTTGTTCTACAGCATCCCAAAATATGCTTTCAGTGAATTTAGTTAGTAACTTGTCATAAACTATACTTTGCGTTCCTAAACTTACAAATGTTGCCAATTTAACTCTTAAATACAGAAGTAAACACATAAAGAAGAGGAAGCTTAACATTTTGAGACGATTTGAGATAGCTAGGCATGTGGGAACAAGGTGCAAGATAATTCACACAAATTTTGGAAAAGGACACTAAGCTGGAAAATTCTGTTAAAAATAGCCAGTGATGTAACACCAGTGTTAATGCTCTAGTATCACGATCTCTTTTCAAGGACAGCAGCAAAATGAGTTGAGCAGCGTGGTTTGCTTGTACTTCCCACAACAACTGTTCCATTCTCAGACACATGTAGATCCATTAATTTGTAATGCATTCGAGTAAGCATTTCACACAAGAATAACAGTTAGTACTTTTTTTTTTTCCTTTCCATAAAAAGTTTAGACTACTAAAAACTACATTCCAGTTATCTAACAGGAGGTAGACCAGATAATCCTCTGAGACCACAGGCTTCAGCAGACATAAGGCTCTAATTAAAGTGATCTGCAAATAAAACCTTCAATCTTTAACACACGTTAAAGGTAACACATTCCAATGTAATTTTTAGATGACTGTCTTGGGGAGTAGTAAGCAAGTACATAGCATGGGAGTGGTAAGCAACTTTAGAGCATGAAACTTATTATTGAAAAGACATTCCTGGAACCTCTAAAAAAATCCCAACCACCACTAGAAATCAGGGATTGCATGACAAATTAGTATTTACAAATTAATATAAAATTATTTAAAAGCCAACAACAGCAATAAGATGCCTATCAATATATTATAATTAGCTCAGAAAGCTTTCAACATGTTGCACTTCAGCTGCTAGGGCAAGAGAAGAAAAAAAAAAAAAGTGTTTTATTTTTTGGTCTTAAGAAAAAGAAAATTGTATTTCACTTACCAGTTCCTATATAGGATTTAAAGCGTCCTGATAGTCTGTCAACAAAGGCACCTAAAACATCTAATCCCAGTAATGCTACCTGTTGAAACAAAAGCATTAGATATACAAAACAGATCACTGAAGAATTCTTTAGAATATATTTTAAAGAAATTAGACATATATATGCAAGCATGCTGAAAGACTGTATCTTAACCCAAAGACAATTAAAGTTCCAATTAAAGAGCCAATAATTCCTTGAAAGCTTTCATTAAGACAGTTATCAGAATATGTTTGGAATGGATCAAGTGTATTTACATATACCAGCACAGCTCAGGTATTTCAGTACTTGTCTTAAAAGAGAAAGAAAATAAATATCAGAAATCCAGTATTTCAGTATTTTCAACTATAAATTATTAAATTCAAATTAATAATTATGAGGACTAAGGAGTTGGAAGCAGCTCTTTTTATTTTTTCCTCTGGATCATATATTAGGACTGCGGTTCCGTCCCTCATTTTCTTTAAAAGATGACTATAGAGGTCTAACTCAGTATTAACTGAAAATCAAAACTCCTTTGAAACAGGTACCAAATAAGGCTTTAGGCCTTACTTGCTCTACCAGGTTTCTAAGCTGCTGAAAGAAACAAAACAGAACGTCTTAACAAAACAAGAAAAAACTCTAAAAAAAAAAAAGGGGGGGGGGGAGCAGTTATCAGACTCAAAAAAAAAAAAGCAAACAACTTACAGTGCAAAACTAACTAAGCCCCCAAACATAAGTATTAATACAGACTGGAAAAAAACCCCATGGTTTAAACAGTTTCCCAGATGCCAAGAGCTTGCTTCAATCTGGCTACTTAGCTCATCCACTAAGGTCATTACATCGTTTTCCAAACTCCCAAAAGCAAACAACTGAGAGAAGCTAATACTCTCTATCCAAGCAGTTCAGACCACACCATTTGTCCACCTGCTTGTTAAGCTAGGGAAGTTTTATTTCTCTTAATTTGCTTTTGTTAAATAAATAAATAAATAAATAAAAAAGAACAGAAAACAAAAGGAAATTCAAAATAGTACTGGGATTGTGAGGAAGTTCCCATCTATGAACAGAAACTAGATGAGAGGACAATATCTGCTAATACAGAAACAAAACCATGATCAGAATGAACAGTTAAACTAAATTATTTTAACAAGTCAGGACAGTTCTTTTCGCCCTTAACTATCCTGCATACTGTTCCAAGACTTCATTCTTAATTTCCTATAATAGTTCATTACGAACAGCAGAACCCGCATTTTCACATTTCCTGGTTCATTTGCTGCCCATGAAGGTGCAAATGCCAAGAAAGGACCTCCTGAAGCTTGGGCATTCATAGCAGTTTTTCCTCCTCTTTATTTTCTAGTAAGACACGCACTTCAGATCTTTTTCCATGAAGACATGAACAGAATTGCTCCCCTCTATTAGCTATTTATTTTCATAAAACTTGGAACCACACTGTCTTGGAGAGCTCTATTTCCTTAAGATCCTTATCTATCACAACTGTCCACACCAGACAACAGGCAAAAAAAATTTTTGACTGGAGATGAATTTGGATACACATGGCCAACACACACAGGGTCATGTGAGCCTTGTTTCCACGGGAAACTAAACAAGTAAGGTCCCCATAAAATGTAGGATCTGAAGCAACTGCACAATTAGGCAGATTTTAGTAACTCCAGTATGAGTACAATAGATCTCCTCTTAAATGGGAGATACAAAACTTCGCTCCAAGGTAGTACAAGTAACTTGGAAATTTACACAATTTTATCACATCCTAAAACATAGAATAGCAAATGTAAGTGGATGGCATCACTGGCTTAAATTAGTATGTTGCCAACAAGTGACTGCCTCTACGGTTTATGATGAGTATACAGAATACTACAGTGATAACTTACATAAAAAATATGTCAGCTCTTATGGTAATGTCAAGGCTTCCCAAGAGCTCTTTCCTTTCATGCTGTTTTCCAGATTGTCGAACTATATGAGACTGAAGACAAAAAAAATCTCAATCTAAAAAGTGATGCCTGAAAGAACTAAGAAATTCATCCTGCATATAAATTGATTTCCTATGCTTCCGTTTCCTGACTATAAGCCCTACCTTAGACTTGTCTTCCAGTGACAACTTTTAAGATACTTTTCCCGTGCCAGTACTTTGGGGTCTATTAATGCACAAACTGCAGCCTTTCCTTCTGTAAAGACACTCAAAGACAGTCTCTATTGGTTCCGCACATTTAATTATCTTTCTAAAAATCTCTCTTGAAGACTTCGACCGTTCTGAATAACAGCAGCTCAGAGATTTAAAAAAAGTAAAGCACGCATGGCTGTTTTTTTACTACAGATCTACTCCTTACTAATCCCACAGAAGAATTCTGTGTAAGATGAAGAGTATTTCTTGATTAATTCCTCCAGTGCTTAGCCTCTAAGGTTTGAAGGGCTTTACGTGGGATTTTTTTGCTTTTTTTTTTTTTGTTGCCTGGTTGGGGGGATGAAGGGGGAAAGGTAGCGGGGATTGTTTGTTTTTAAAGTCCCACCTGGCTAAAACCAGTGGCCATATGGAATATCTGACCCTTCATATGTATACCTAAGGGTCAGAGGCTTGGTAACTACCAGAAAAATGGCTACTCATTATACCATGACTCTTACTGCCAACAAAGAATCTGATTGCTTGTATGTCATTTGTGTAAGAGTATTTATTTTGATCAACAGCACCCACTGAGATAATGTTTACATATTCCGTATTTTTTTTTCCCCCCCCCCCGTGAATGGGTAAAGTTTAATCCCCTCTTATGATGCCAGTCACATTTATCTTCATTAACCATTCAAGCAGTTGTCAATATGGTATTGGCTTTGGAACTGCCTATCGAAGATTTGCTTAATTAATGCAGTAGGAGTTCTACTCCAATAATTAGCATACAAAAGCCACTTCAGTAAATACTATAAATTTAAATATCCTGATGAGTATTTTTGTCTCGCGATGTCCTTATTGTATGAAAATATATAGTTCAGACTGTATGGGATGAAATAAAGCTTTCAAATGTTACCTTTCTAAGTCAGAGTAAGATACGAGACTAACCCTGGCTTTAAGAAATAGAAAAGTAACAAACACTGCTGTGAAATTCTCATCTCTTTAACAGCTACTAACCAGGAATACAGATAAGAGGTACGGTAACAGGTTATGATGGTCTTAAAGGAGCAATCCTCTACCTACATGATGGTTATTCTTTAGCTCATACAAAGTCCTCTCTGGTCTGCAACTTTGACAAGCTAGCACGTATGAAACGTAATGACATCTGCAGAGCGAGAAAGTATGATGTGACCTCAGGCTGGAAGTAATGGGAAACTGCTCTAGCTACAAAACTGGATCTCAGTCCACTTTCAAAACAAGTCAGCTGAAGCCTACAACTACAGAGTATACTAAATAAACTGCCTCTTATTATTTGCGCACATCGGTCTGAACATTGCTCTGCTTTGATGCACAATGTTCTGAGTTTCAGCATCTCCTGGTAGGTATCATCCATGCAGTATTCAAGCAGCCCTTTGGAAGGAGGAGTCCTTAATAATTGATTGGGGGTCACACGAGCAGCATTAAAAAAAAAAACAAAACAAAACAAAAACTACACCAAAAAGAGGGGGTCACACGAGCAGCATTAAAAACAAAACAAAACAAAAACTACACCAAAAAGAAAAACCAAAACCGAAACACAAAAAACCCCACTGTGTGGGACCATGTACCAACACAGGCTCTCCCCTATCAACAGAAAAACCTTTTACCAGCATCATGCCTCTTTCCCCACCAGCTTCAATGAGGGATGTATTTCTGCTGGGATTAAAATCATTGGATCTATTTCTTACTCTGCATTCATTAAGCCTTTTGCCTGCTGCCTAGAAAGAGCCTTTGTATGTTGAGACTGATTCATCAGCTCACTATTGTTTGATGCATTTAAACACTGCTTTTGAGGTTCACAGTGGAAAAGAAATTTAGGCTTATTTGAACTGGAGTTGGTTAGTTGCTGAACTACTCTTTAACAAGCCAGTGTTCAGGATCGACCTTGACTTCTTACTTCACAACAGAATTGCCAACCCAACTGAGAAGTATTTTGTCTGTTCTGGAAAGGACCAGACTCTTTAGTGAAATCAAGATGCTCCAACCAGAGCGCAATTATGAATTGAGCCAGTGATTAGGGATTGAGCCTATTGCTTGCTCTGCAGCTTGTTCCTTTTCCAGCTCTCCTTCTACATACTCTTTCCAGCACTGCCACTGCTCTTCTGTGGGCAACATCCAGGCATCTAAGTCTCTGTGATTCTGTAATTTCCCATCCCTGTGGGGGACATCTAGGGGCAGGACACTATCCAGGAAGCATCTCTAGTTACATAAATTGCCAAATGACCTTAATATGAACGTCCATGGATTTGGTCATAGGCTCTCTGAACCGTATATGGAAATATGGCTTCTGCAGATCACAATCTGCAAACCAGTCATGAGAATTTAATGGGGGAATTACGGAGGTCACTACTTGGAACTCTGAAAGAATGAAGTTAAGGCATTGGACTTCCTGTCACCATGGGGACAGCTGTGGTATCACTAACGATCAACTGACAGACACAAACCAGCATGCCAAGCAACTACACCCTGCAAGGACAAGCATTGTTCCAGCACTGCAATGCTGGAACAAGACATATGCAAGAACACCGGGAGATTTTTCTGTTCATTTTAAGCATTGTCAGCCGAGCCCAAAGGTGTATTTTCTCAATTCTCAAATAATCTCAAGCACCTTGCACATAGCTAACATGAAACAAAAACATGTATGTACGTGCAGTCTCTTCTGCTTCACTTCTTGAATTTTCTTAATCCTAGTTCTCTTTATTCATCTCCCTAAATACACTACTTCTCTCCTATTTCACAGGATACTCAATCAATTCTTGCTCCCTTTACTGTTTCCCACTCCAATTCTCTCCACATCGCCCATTTTGCTGAAATCTACCCGTATTCCATTCCTTCCCTTATCCCAAAAGCTTGCAGACACCAAAATCCACCCCTGGCTCCACAGGCAGAAGAAAGCTTCTATTTTCCT